ATCACACGCCATATATGCAAATTAATTTTAATTTATTTCAATCGATGAATAGCAAATAAATGAGCTTAATTAATTGGCGGTAAAACTGTTGCAGAAGGCTGAAGGGATTTCATTTTCGCTTAAACAGTAAATAGGTAATTGCAACATAGCAATGCTTAAACTGCTTCACAATGCGTTAAAAGAGCAACAATGACAAAGACTCGATAAACAATTACTTGAAACAAAAGCTAAACCAGTTTAATTATTATTTTTCGCTATACTGTCTGGTACAGTTCGGTCTCACATTTTGCCCTTCTTCTTTACCAATTTCGAGTCCAACCATTTCATGACTTAATATACTGCTCACTTGACAGAATTGCTATGTTTTAAAGTACACATTTAAAATATGTTAAAAAAGAGTTATCTAGTTCGCCGTTCTTTTTATAGGTTGCATTTCGGTTCACACGTCCGAATGAACTCTAAACATTTACTTTATGGAGGCTCCTTTAATTTGACTGCCTGGTCAGCCACTTGGGTAAGCTTGGCTTCCACCTGTCTGCTCCTGGTTTTATGGGCTGCAAATAAAAATTTCATGGCTACAACTCAATTTGGTGTTTAACAAGGGAAAGTGTGAAGCATTTAATGGTAGGCAACTTTAATGTAATCAAACAGCTGAACTCGGGCTGAGGGTACTAGTATTCCAGCTTAGCGGAGGATCCTTTCCCATTATGCAAAATCGGAAGGAGAAATTGTTGAGGCGCTTGCTGCATATAAATACGTCCTCCTTTTCGCAGACTTAAATCACCAGTTTCACTTGAAAAACTCTATTTTTGCCCGAGTTTTCTAAAAAAAAATATAACTCTTAAAAAAAAGATGTTCATAATGCTTAGCTCCAAATAAATGGGTTAAATAATAATACAAATATGAAAAACTATTCAGTTATCATTTCCATTTGTAAATAATACTTACAAACATGTTTAAGCATTGCATTTTTCTGAGTGAACACTTAAGCCTGTCTGGGTCGAGACCAAGTTTATGGCGCCCAACGTTCGTCGCGCACTCTTCGTTTTTGGCAAAAGTATTAAAACTTTTATTCTCTGCTCCTTTTTCTCGCTTACTTGGTACCCTGCCTTTGATCTTGGAGGCGGGCATCGGGCTGCCCGTGAAGGAGGCGACTGGGAAAAGCTGTGGGCCGAACTCCCATGCTCTTTGCAATGCATCGCCGTCTGCTTTTCATTCCATTTCACGCTTACTATTTCCCACCCAGACCATTTTGCTTAACTGGCGCGAAAATGCTGGATTCCAGTCGTATTAATTTTTAAATAGTCTTGTGGCAGTGCAATCCACATCGAACAGGCACGCAAGTGGCCAGGACTCCAGGCGAGCCATGTGTGCCATGCAGCATGGGGCATGCAGCATGGGGCAGCTGTTCTTCTCCCTCGGCTTTCATTTCGGCCGAGGCTCGGGCAAATTAAAAGCTTTTTGCAACTGCACCGCGCTGCTGGAAAAACAGTGGCCCGGCCTCGAGATGGTGGGCAATCAACGCGGATGGGAGTCCAATCGGATTCCTCTTAACTTAAAATTGAAAGATGAGCTCATGACGAATAAGATCAGACACTGCAAGAGGTTGCTGTATGTATCGGAATATTGATAACTAATAAATAACTTTTGAATTTGTGAGTTAGCGATAACCAATTATGCCAGGTACGTTGTTTGGGTTTGTTGGCATATGCCATATGCTCGAGCACTGTAGCAGGATTTTAGGATTCAACTTCTGGCCTTCCACTTATCCGGCATGAGCGTAAATCATACATCCGATCGGCCATACTTCATGGCGGCTGAGCCCCATCACACGATTTATGATTCCCGCTGGGCAGACCAAATGACCCACACGCTAAGCCGACAACTTGTTGGACCCTTGGCCACATTCCTGCCACCCCTACCACCCCGCCACACCGCCACCCCGCTGATTTGTGGCCAAGGGCGGGCATTCTTAAAGCCTTAAGGGTAGGTTATCCTGCGAAATCCTTGGGGCTGCCTGCGTCGATTTCGAGACCCATTTGTATGCAAGTCCACGGAGCGCGAGAGCGAAAAACTTATAACCCAACCGTGCTGTAAGTTTAGTTTAATAGTTGCTCGCGCAAGTTTTGCAACTCCAGTCGCGTCGCGTTTAATGCAAATTAAAACGTTCCCGGCGCCAAAAAGTTGGCCGTGCTCCATCATTTTCGGCGCGTCAAAGATTAAATTGAGCAAGGAGACGCCCGGGAGCTGGCACAGAAAACCAGTCAGAAAGTATATAGCCACATTAAGTCACTGGAGAACAAATGGTAGTTAGCAGTCGCCTCGGTTCAGTTGTTTCAGTTTTCCCAAACTCCTGCCAGTTTTGTCACACGGTTTTTGCCACTTTGTAACGACGAAAAGGCGTCGAAAGGCAGCTGAGTTGGTTAGACGCTCGACCATAAACTTAATGACATTTTCCAGGACTGAGACATTAAGGCAGGCTAAATTGGTCCTGGTCTTGTAACCACTTTGAGCCTACTTTTGATTTTATTAGGGCCATAGTGTTAAGTTGGCCCGTGTAATTACCAACTATTACGTATCAAGTGCCCTTCACTTTTATTTGCATAAATACTTTATTGTGTCATCATAAGTATCAATAAACATTTGGTGGCAAAAACACCACGCGCATAAATATATTCCTGTAATCCCAATTAAATTTTCTGTAATGAGATGATGAGCAGCGTAAAAACAAAATCATTACACTGTGTTACAAAATGAGACCTTTATTAATTACATTGAGGTGGAGCAAATCACTAATTGTGTTATATGGTCGAAACGCTTCCGTCTACCTGCTACAAACTTTTCAACGAATTAGTATACCCTTTTACTCTACGAGTAACGGGTATATCTATTAAAAATGCGGGTGTGGTTTTCGTTAAAATGGTTTACATATTTGCACAGAAATTTTCTTGCACAATACATACCTTTTTGAGATATATGATAGGTTAAGCATCAATCAGCATTTCATTTAAATACAACAAAACTCTATGTAAATTCAATTTCCGGATTAATTTCCTATCCGATTTCAAAATAAAATCATATGCAATGTTACCTTTCACCTATTTGTTGAACATGTTTTCACGTTTATTTGGATTTGAATTTGGATCGCTGAAAGCGCAGTTTAATATAACGAATAGATAGAAAATTTGATAAGTTGTTTCATTCAAGTGGCTCTACTATTTTATTGAAAGGCACACTATTTACACAATTGCTTAATACTAGTTTTGCAGTCGCCTTAGACGCCAACTATTCTAGAAACCGAATTCATTTTCCCCTGATTATCATAGCCCCTTGGCATTTCGAGTTTGTGGCTACACCAAAAAGGGGTATTTGCATTAGCCGACTTTGGCTTTGAATTTGGCTTTGGCTTTTGGCTTTCGCTCGACACGGCGGTTTGTGGAAAAGCCTCGGTTTCCGTGGCTGCGGTTTATCTTGTCTTCTGCCCTCGTCCTTGCTGTTGTTGCTGTTCGTAAGCAATTTAATTGAATTATTTGCACTGCCTTCTCGTCCTGGCTTCCAGGCTACTCAACTAGCAGCTCCATCTGTGACAGCTGCTCTAATTAGCTGGGCAAGGGCATCGGGTGCAGAATTCTCCGGCAAAGGCGCTTAATTAGCTCGCCCTCACTAGGAAATTGAGGTGAACCGCGGTGGGGTTGGACTGCTTAGGCCTATCAGCCTAGCAGCCATCCTATTATGACCGAATTGAATTGCTAACAAGCTAAGCAGCAGACTCGGCGACAACAAATGTCACTCATTCACAATCAGGGCGTTTAAATTAATTTCACGTGCCACTTTGGCCCATATTTCTGATGATGCCGGTGCTGAAAGAAATGCCTCTGGTTGGCGTACAATTTTATGATTCAGCGAATCCTGACGACATTGTCTAGTCTGGGCTCGTTATCCTTAGCTATTCATCCTGCGTGCCGCCAGGGAAGTTTCTCTACTCGCCCCAAAGCATGTTTCCATTAGAGATGATCTGAACTGTGACTAGAATTGTCGGGGGATTAATTTAAAAGGCACTAGGAATTGATATTGAAAATGAAAATTACTTCATGAAATGCCATTTGTTGCGTTAAGTCATTGTCATCTAATAGAGCAGTTAGCTCGGGCATTAAGTGTGATTCCCTTATAGCATTCTAGCTTTTCAGTTGATTCAAATTCAAGCCCTGCGGCTAAATTTTTAATGGTCACGTGGGGAAATCACCGGATGTCACATAAGCAATCGCGTCCTGAGCTAAATTCCAAAATCCTCATTCCTATCTGTTGTTATTGACTTGGCTTCGCTTCGGATGGCCTTGCTAGGCAGCTGGTGTCTGTCATGTCATTTATCCAAAAAATCTGCCATAAACACGTCGCACACGTATGCGCCATTTTAAAAATGGCGTCAGCTTCACTTCCGCTAAATGTTGTCCTTGATTTCGTTTCAGTGCCTGTGTGTGTGCGTGTTTTTCCTGCGGGCCCGGGACCAAGACAACTGCATTTGAATTCAATTGAACGAGATGCTTATGAAGTCGTTAAGAGCCCTACAGCACATCGAGACTGGGAGCTCCCACCCAGCTCCCACACTCAGCTACTTCCTTGAATCCCGATTGTCGGCAATATTGTCACATCGTCGAAAATAATTGCCGGAAATACAAAAGGAAGGCGGCGCCGAAACCGAACCAAACAGAATCGAGGAAGAAATGAGAATAGATTTCCAATTTTCTCGGCTCCCAAGGAGGAAGCACTGCAGGGCGTCCTTGTCATTGCGGCTTACGTGGCGTATACTCAACTATAATTAATTACGCCCTTTGTGTCCGCGTGGGTGGACACTCCCAGAGACTTCTCCGGATGCCGAACGCTAGCTGCCGGACGATAGAAGCTTCCTCCTTGAGTGGCTTCTTTTCAATTTCGATTGCTGGGTCATTGACTATCCGCACCACAGTTGAGAGCTATAAAAGCGCGATTGGATTGCAGGGATAGCCACATTCATGCACGGCCAGTGCACGGAAAACGTACTCGGAATTCCAGCTGGAATCGGTTGGTAGAATGGCCCCACTGCATCTGCTGCTCCACTGTGCCACCACTCTGCTGATTGCCAACGCCCTGGTACTGAATCCCCAGTTGATGGGTGCAGAAAATGAGGGCAAATCCAAAGTCGGTTTTCCCATCGACCTGGACGACGGAGTAGACGGGGTGGACCTGCCACTGGAGGTGGAACAGGATGTGACCGGGGACCAGTCCGTCGGCAGGCCCCAGCACTCCATGCCGCCCGACTGGCTGACCTTCGACGAACCCACTCCGCCCACGAAGCATCGGACTGGCCACAAGCCGCAGATCATCCTGAAGCACCCGACCAGCGGATTCCATAAGCTTTCTGCCCACGGACATCGCACCTGTCACGTGGAAATCGTCAGCAAGGTGCAGGGTATCTGCCAGCCGATGCCCATTGGAAGCGCCTGCGTCTCGGATGACTACATGGACCTCTACACTGATGCCAACTGCTCATCTCAGTAGAAGGGTTCACTTGTGCCCTGATTGATGGATTGATTGATTGATTGTCCGTGTGTGTGTGTGAGCTCAGATTTTGTGCGAGGAGGAGTACGACTACCTGTTGCCCAATGTCAACAAAGCTTGTATAAATAAATCTATTCAATAAAATTTTACATTTTCTACAAACTGTTTATTATGAGATCGGTTACTGTTCAGCTGCTGTACTGTACTGTAATTATATATATATACATATGTATTGAGTATTGATTTTATTTCAAAAACTAAATCATTTTCTACTTAACATATTTCGTCTGCATCTTATTGCGATAAATGCGACAAAAACTTAAATATCTTGTCAATTCCTAATTAATGGGTAAAAGTAAAATAAATGTACACAATTTCTACAAAACCTAAGCCATAAGCCAAATTTGGTTAACTCCGTTCGTATCTAAAGCCTTTGGTTACCACTCGCAATTTGTAAACTTATAAGTATTAACTGATGTCCTGTTAATTACAAAACTTACATTCCTCAAAACTATTTTCCTATAAATTGCATTGATTACTATTCTTACCCAAACACTATCTCAACTTTGGCCAAATGGTTGGCTTAGCTGGCTTTATTCCCGGAATGGTCGTGGAGTTTCCACTGCTAACGCATTGAGCTCCAAAGAGTTCCAAAAGTTGAGGTGCCCGGAAAAATTCGGACCGCTTCCAGGACGACGGACCCACTCGATCCATCTGATCGTAGATGAGGCCCGTCACATCCAACGCTCGAAATTGCTCCAGAAGGTGTTCATCATGCAGATCGTTACCCCATAAAAAGAGAGCCTGCTGCAGATCCAAGGCCAAATGGACTAGCTGGTGTTTGTTTTGAAAGTTCTCCACATGCAGAGCTGTTCCCAAAATTTCTGCGGACTGAACGAAGTTAATGGCTTGCTGGAAACTCTGGGTTCTCAGATCCATATACGCATCCCAAATCTGGGACTTTCCAATGCTCATTAGAATCACAGGAAAGACATGCTGCTTCAGCCTAATCATTGAGCATATATCCGCATCGAAGCTGGCGAAGATTAGTGGACGTCCGCAGCCATGATGAATTGTGGTCTGCAGAATCCTGTCCACGTAGATGTTTTTGTTCAAACTTTGCGTGGATTCCGGCACACCAGAAGCCATTATTTGCGGCCACTTAATCTCCACCAGAAGTCCCAGCGTTTTTGGTAGTGCCTCATAAATCTCCGAGAGTTTGGGGAAAATTCTGTGCTTTTGGCTCACATCCTTAACATTAAGATTGGTGTATTCCTGGACGGTCCAACGCTTTAGGATAAACACACGGCTGGCTTTGAGTTCCGAGTAGGTAAGTTCCCTTATCAGGACAAACCGTAAGTCGAAACGATCCCTTACAGAACGATCTCTGTCTGAAGTGTAGAATCCAAAACCATGCCAAACTATGGGAACGTAGTCCTTGGTCAGTTGCACATCCAGTTGGACCATATCTCCCTTGGCCTTCAGCACTGCCAGATAGCTTTCGATGGTGTTCTCCGTAAGACTGGTTGAAGACTGGAAGTAGCTGGCTCCCAAGCCCCGATATCCGACATCCAACGTAGGCCAATTATCCGGCCAGTAGTGATGGAAACTGGCTCTCAGATTTCCCGCTCCCACTTTTGGCATGGGCTGAACCACCAAGTAGGGCAGGGTGATCTCACCAACGGCCAAATTTTGTAAACTCGCAAAGATGGGGAGCTGCAAAATCCCACGGCTGCCCTTGATCTGATCCGGAAATATGTACGTCTCTCCCAAGGATAACTGCACATCTCTTGATCCCTGATAAATGGACAAGCGAAAGGCATTGTAGGTGTCCAGCGGCTGATAAATCCGGAACACCACAACGGAGCCTTGTGTGTACCGCACTCCCCGTTGGTTCTGTGGCCTGAACGATGACTGATTGTAGGCATACCTGGAGACCTCTATGCGGGTGTCGTCTATTAAATTGAGCGGTGTTAGGATCAGCCGGTACCTGGCGTTGCTTGCCATTCCAGATATAGCAATATGATCGTGCCAGATGAATTTCAGCTCTATTACGTACTCGTACTGCAACCAACCGCGTTCCAGGTAGAAACCCCCACCGACCGAGGTGGGGTAGGCTTCGCCGAATATGTCCAAGCCCGGGGAGCGATAGATCTCGTAGGTCTGCAGCATTCGAGCCACTCTCTGGCCCTCCCAGCTCCGCAGGACCCGCTTGCCTTGGCTGTTCTTCGAGAAGATGAGGTATCGATAGTAGAATCTTTGGGTGGCACATATCCACACCCTCAGATACCACTTGGTGCGAGCCTTGTCCTGCTCCTTGAGCGGCAGAGCCTTCTCGAGCTGCCAGAGGCCCAGAGTTGGATGATCTCCACTCACGGCCACAAACTCATCGGGGGCCAACCGAATATGGTGCCTCAGCTCCAGGGTGAAGACCCGAAAGAGCGGCACACAGATGAAGCTGCGGCCCGAGATCTGGCTGGGCTGCTCATCGTCGAAGATCTTGAAGGCCTGCAGCTTCTCGGGCCCGAAAACAGAGGTTTCATTCACAAAGGCGCCGCTGAAGGGCAGAAGCAGAAGCTGCAACAGCAGCAGCCCATGGGGTATGCTAATTGATTTTAACACATTCAAACACACTCGAGACCGACACATTTTTCCTCATTCCACACAACAACATCACCATCTTTGCGCCACCGAAACAAGTTTTCGCTTTCTCGGCCAAAATAAATCGGAATAGCCCCCGGATCCGAGACGAAATTGAAAACGAAAACTAAGAGATGAGCGCGACTTGGATCGGATTCGACGGCAAGTTGACCCAACGATGACAAACAACTGAATGAAAGAAATTCTTAAAGCTCATCGTGGTTTTGTTTCAGCCGAAACTGGAGTTGCCCTGGGAAACGGAATCGGAATCGGAATCGGATTCCGAATCAGCTGCGATCGAAGAAACTCTGACTAATAAGTCAGCGGCTCACTAATTGAGTTGATGGGTAAGGTTGGTGACCACTGGGCACCAGCGATGACAGCGTGAGCAGTTAAACTCGGGCTAATTAATACATTATTAAGATATAATCGGGGAATGGGGAATTTTTATTGCCGAATGGGGGCAACCTTTCACTGAATAAATTATTTTTGGGATCCCTGTAGAGCGGTATAGCACTGTGGCCCATTAATCATGCACTCATAACTTCGGAGCTAGCAGCTCCATATTTTTTACCGGGAAGGGTATCGTCACTTCGGAGTTCTTGACCGCTCGGTCTTTGTTATGCGACAGTCGATGGTATGACATTCGCATATCTGTACCAAATTTGGCATATGTAAATTTCGGGCTAAAGAAAGTTGCCAGTTGGAGAGGAGAGATCCCGCACAATGGCTGGCTCAGATGTCTGCGTTCTCCACCAAGGGCTTGACATAAACCGGATTATAATCCATGTACAGATATCGGGACAAATGCCAGCGTTGCATGATCGGCGGCTTCTTCGACCGGCAGTCCTTTTTCTGCCGGATTAGGCTGAAGTTTTTGATTGTCAGGTCCACTGTCTTGAGGTACGAAGCTATGTCTTCGAGAGTCTTCTCACTCGGGACTGCTTTCCGGGTATAAATTGCCATCTGATGACGCATCCAGGGCAGGGAGCAGTGCAGCTCCACGGCATAATTTGTGAAGTCTGTTTGGGTGATCCGTGTCCAATAGAGATCCACTACAAAACCATAAAAGTAATTTGAGAAGCAGACAATTAAAATGTTATACTTGTATATGCACAAAAAAGCTTGTCTAATTGTTGCTTTAAAAAAATATATTAATTTTAATAGCTTACAACAATGTGTTTCATTTTTAGATTTCCATTGGCAAAGTAAGCTTTTTAATGCAGTTTTATGAATAAGTCGGAAAGATTTATCAGCTTATATTTATGAAATATAGATTTTAATTGAATTGAATTGAACCGAACTTGACTTACGCTCTTCAAAGTAGCAGACCTTAATTCTCCCTGGACTAGTCCCATAAACATACCAGCCGCCCTTGATCTAGAAAAGATAAATCAATTTCCCGCTATTAGCGGTCTTTCGTTTATCGGATTTCAAGATCATTCCCACCTTTTCAGCGTCCACTGGGAATTCTTTGTACAAACACCTCCAAGTCCAAGTGGCCACCAGGCAGCTGGTCAGCATCAATGGAACCAGGCCCGCAGCGAAGAGGCATTCGCATTTGGCCATGCCCAGACCGATGCAAATGAGGCGCTCTCTAATTGGCCATAAACCGAACGGACTTTAGGCCTGACTTCCAGCACGAGGGCCAAACCTCTTAATGGCCCACTCTCCATTCTCCGTTTATGGGCCGTGTTCTGGGCTCAGCATTTTCATGGCTGTTTTTACATTCGTCACGGGGCCATCAAGTGTAAGCGGATCGAATTTTATCATACGACTTAAGCTGTGGGGCAGGCATTCGTTTTTTCCATTTGCCGGAGATCAGAGTAAAACAAGTCATTCGACGGGTTGGCGTTGAAATTTTTACGAAAATATTTGGTGTGATTTTATTTACATACGAATCAATCACTTTTGGTTTTTGTCATAAAACGGATTGTAACATTGATAAAAATATATTATTGCTTTTTCTTAGATTTGGATAAGTGTAAGCGACTTCTTTAAATATTTCAGTTTCAACTTTATGTCGATACTAGTGATTATTTGTACATCTTAAGAAAATAGTTCACACAAATCTATATATTATAAACAAATTTTGAAAACAACAGTAAATTTTGAAATTTTAAGAGGCATCAAAAAGGATTTTTAACAGTTAAATAAAATGTCTTCTAGTTTACAAAAGTTTTTTTGCACAAGTTACACAAGCATCTGTGCATATCGGTTACGTCCAAATTTGAATAGTATTTTGATTTACAAAAGTTTATTAGCAACATCATTTTTGCAAGTCTTGCATTGAGGTATTGCTAGATTGACTAAAGCAGGTAATGTAGGTGTATATATTGTTGTAATTATCGATTCGTCGCTTCGCTTTCTTCCCATTGTCTTTTGTGGTGCTACTTAACTTTTGGGGAATTCCTTTTTTGCATGTGTAATTTTGCCAAATGACGGCTTAACGTGCATAGAGATGATTTATTTATTGGTCTCCGTTTCGTTGTTTCCGTTGGGCA